CAATACATTCAGCAGGGAAAGTATCTCAGGAGGTGGTGGCCCGCGTCCTGATAAGTAGTGTTAGTCTAAATTTAGTGCATAAATAATCTTCTAGGCAAAAAAATCTCCCAAGAGACTTTAGTTTTTAATTAAAAGGAACTCAGACATGACACATTGGTAGAAATAGATCTTCCCTATAGAATATCCACACAGAGCAACAGAAAATGATCAATAAAGATGGATAATATTAATAACAGGTAAGATCCATGACTGGATATTAAAATTCACGTCCCAAAGTTTGCAGAAAAGCAAGATATTTGCATAGTCTGAAAGTACAACATCCCAAATATTTACAAACCGAAAGGAAAAGTAGTAGTTTCACAGTGGAGAGAGGCAACAAGGCAAACAGGGCAAAGGAGAGTCATGTGCCTCCCGACACTTAAAGCCACAAAACTCTAATCTTTTCTGTGGTTGTCTTTGTCACTTTTCAATTGCTCTGACAAAACAGCATGGTCTAGGATCTTATAAAAGAAAGAATTTATTGGAGGCTCACAGTTTCAGATGGGAAGTTCATGAAGGGAAGCTCTTCACGGTAGAGAGCATGGCAGCAGGCAGGCAGGCATGGCACTGGAGCAGTAGCTGAGAGCTTACATCTGACCCACAGTGTAGATGGCAGGGAGAGTGAGATGAGGCTTAGTGTGAGCTTTTGAAACCTCAAAGCCTGCCCCCAGTGACCTACTTCCCCCAGCATAACCACATCTCCTAATCTTTCTCAAGCAGGCCCACAAACTGGGAGCCAAGTATTCAAATAGATGAGCCCATGTGGGCCATTCTCATTCAAACCACCACAGTAGCATTCTTTCAGAAACTCCATAATTTTGTGAGAAAATATCCAATAAATTCAACTCAGGGACGTTCTACTAAATACTTAACCAATGTTCTTCAGAAATTTCCATTTCATTAAGGAAATAAAGGACTGAGAAACACCCAGACTGCGAGAGACAACAGAGACTCACTGAAACTGCATCTAACAAGGGTGTGAGATTGGATCCTGGAACAGAGAAGTGACGGAAGTTTAAAAATATCTAAGTACTGCCTGTAATTCTGTGAATAGTTTGAATCGATGCTAATTTACTGTTCTTGATAAATGCATCATCATCTTGTGTATTTTGCTAATCTTAGAGCAAGGTGGTTAAGGGTACATGGGGAAATGTTATACTAATTCCATAATTTTCTTCATATCTAAATCTATTCTTGAAATTTAAAAATATGGAGATGTAATCTCAGCCTCCTAGACACTGAACTTCATCATACCCGTCCCCTCCCCCCCACACACACACTCAGCATCTCTGCCATTCTTCTCAGTTCTGCTTTATTACAAAGTTTCCTGTGACTTCCATGAGAATTTAAAGCTGGTTTCTAATGCCATCATATTTTAGTGAAAGACACTGAAGGCTACAGAGATTAAATGTGACCAAAATCCTTTAGGTTATGTGTGAGAGAGCAGGAGTTTATCATGAAAGACCTTGGTCCCGGGGTATCTTAGGGTTTCTCAGCTTTAACACTATCAGTACATTGGCCTTCATTTCTCTTGGTTGTGAACATTATCCAACACTTAGCAGCATCCTTGGCTTTGACTAATAGGTGACCATAACATATTTTTTCTCCTGGTTGTGACAAACCAAAAATGTCTCTAGATATTATTTGGGAGACAAAGCCCCGCCTTATTGGAAATAAGATAGATTGAGAGGATTAAGAAAGGGCATTCCAGGAAGACAGAAAAAGTAGTAGGAGGAGAAAGGTATGTGACAAAAAGCAGCATAGGTTTTTAGAGAAAGATAACTAGTTTATCACTTAGCATGATACTGGAGCTAAATGGAGGTGAGAGAAGGGTACTATTGGGCAGGCTCTGGTCACAGAGGACCTCTGACAGCTAATTGTGTTAGGTACTCCCTGTTCTGTTCTCCAGACCTCCACTCCTGCTGTTCCCAGCAGGCTAATTTTTAATGGATGGCATCACAGAGATGCTTGCCTCTTGACTAAGTGTTATATTGGACCAATGGGAACAACTGAAGAGAACTGGAGGGTGGGAAGAGATCAGCCTTGTTTCTTATCCTCTCTGCAGGCCAGTGGTAGGGTACAGATATATCCCATTCAGTTAACAACCACCCCCTACCCCAGGCAAGCAGATGTCTTGGCTCCTGCTCTCAGAAGCTCTCAGAAGGTGTTCTTCCTTCTGTATGCCTCTCTTGTGATTAGGAGTAGTAAAAATTTTGGGTTCTTGCTAGTTCCTAGGGGCCCTGCCATCTTTTTCTTGTTAGTGTTTCTTTCACCCTGTCCAGTCTTCTACTTGGTTCTTTTATTAGTTTCTCTGCGGTTTACCCTTCTGAGTATTCTGGAATGCTAAGACACAGAGTTCTAGACTAAATAGAGATTGTATATTTTAGCACTATAGTACACTGTAAAAAGGAAAGAATCAGGGGGCAGATTTTAATCTAAGAGATGAACAAGTAGTTGATCATACTTATAACTGATTGGACATACGGCTATGGAGCTTGAGTTTGAGGCATCTGTGGAGCACACAAGTCAGATGGACAGGCATATATTAACCCGAAGCCTGGGAGACTGTCCTGAGGGTTAGGTGCAGACTTGAGAATCTTTAACTAAAAGAGGTGGTTGAAATTTGGGTAGTGGTGTTATAAAGCACAAGCTGAGAAAATGTGGTGAAGACAGTCATGGAATGGCTGCGGTTGCAGGTGGTGATAGAGATCCCAGGCTGGTGAAAGACAAGAAAGAGGGAGGCAGGAGGAGGAGTGGACAGGGAGGGACGATGGTGAAGAAGAAGAAGTAGGAGGAGGAAGAAAGAGGAAGGATGAATGAAGAGAAGAAATGATTACAGATATACAAAGGTCTCGGCACTGGGGCGGGAGTGGGGTGTGCTGGGACAGGAAGACTTTTACAAGTTCTAGGCCAAGCTTAGACTACATAGTGAGTTCAAGACCAAGCCTTGGCTTAGTGAAAACAAAAACCTAACAAACAAAAACCAACCTAAAAGAATGAGAAACAGCTGACCTGAACAATGGGGAGCTCTTGGTCCCCAGACTGATAGCTGGATACCAGCTTGGGACTGACCCAGACCCCAAGAACATGGGTGTCAGTGAGGAGACCTCGGAAATCTATGGGACCTCCTGTGGTAGATCAGTACTTATCCCTAGCATAGGTATGGACTTTGGGAGCTCAATCCACATACAGGGATACTCCCTGAGCCAAGACACACAGGGGTGGGCCTAGGCCCTATCCCAAAGGATATGACAGACTCTGATGACCCCCTGTGGAAGGCCACGCCCTCCCTGAGGAGCAGAAAGGATATGTAAGAGGGAGGGTTTTAGTTGGGGGGTTAGGGGAGGAGGGAAGGGAGAAGGAACTGGAATTGACATGTAAAACAATCTTGTTTCTAATTCAAATGAAAAAAAAAGAAAAGAAAAGAATGTACTCAGCCTAAAGGACAAAGATGTAAAAAGTTATCAGAAAAAGATTAGAAGAAAAAATGAAATTGTTTAGACCTTCCTTGTCATTGTGTCATCAGGGTAGACTACTGCAAGTTCAGTTAGGAGATAGAAACCAACTTGGTTTTGGCACTTTCCTCACAGACTTCTTATAAGTATCAACGATATGTAACTTTTTAATATAATTCCCTCTATAAAACTATAAAAACTATAAAAGTATAATGACTAGTACACTGGACAAATTTTCACTCCATCTTCACTCATGAATGTACGCATAGAGCAGACAATAAATACTGAATTTCAATTTCAGGCTAAGAAAATATACTATGGTTTTTGCAATTTAATATAATGTTCTAGTTTTGTTTCTGTTGCTATGATAAAACTCTACAAACAAAAGCAACCTTGGGAAGAAAGTATTCAATTCAGCTTATACTTCCAGGTCACTTCCTGAGGGAAACCAGGGTAAGAACTCAAGCAGGGCAGGAGCTTGGAGCAGAGACCGTGGAATAACGCTGCTGTTTGCTCGTTCACTCTCTGGCTAGCTTGTGGGCTCATGCTTAGCTAGCTTTCTATTACAACTCATGACCATACCTAGGGATTCTGCAGCCTATAGCCTCTCTGGCTAAAACCTCCTATATAAATTAATATTCAAATAATCCCTTGCAGACACACACATGCACACGGGCCAATCTGACCCAGACAATTCTTCATGCAAAGTTTTCTTCTTAGGTGACTCTAGGTTGATTCACCATGGCAACTGAAGCTCACTAGGACATACCTGAGTTTGAAAAAGTCAGTACAGTGATGTAGAAAATACTTTTCTACTGTGAGTCAATGAAATTGAGGATAAGCAGCATCCAATAAGCTATATAATTCTAGGTAAAATTTGTGTCTTATTGAGTGAATGAAAAGAAAACTATAAGAGCTGAAGCTTGAGGAAATTATATTAAAAAGAACAATATCTGGTTCTAAATATAAGGTGACTAATAAGACGTGGTGTTACATCTTCGATGTCCCCAGAAACTCATAGGACAAAGGGTTAGTCACCAGCTTCTTTGTTATTGGGACATGGTAAAATATTTGGGAAGCGTGGCTTCACTAGAGGAACTTAGACCATTGGAAACAAACTGTTGAAGGAGACATTGGGACCTTGGTCATTTCCTTCCTTGGTCTCCTTGCTTCCTGGATACCATGAAGTGAACAATTTCCTTTTCCCCACACTCACTTCAGGATGTCTGGCCTGAACACAAGTACAAAGTCAGCAAGGCCAACTGACCATGGTCTTAGCCTCTGAAACTGTGAGACAAAGGTAGATCTTCCCTCTGTATATGCTACTTTGCCCCGGGCATCTTGTTATAGTGACAGAAAGATAACTAGATCTTTTTGAAACTTGCACCAAAAGATACAATGGTTCTAATTTTTCAAGAATTCAAAACAATATATGGACCAAAAACTTTCCCTTTTAATAACATCCATCGGATTGATAAGCTGTATTTATACTGTGACAGTATTTACCTTTTGATGTAGCCTTAGTCGGCATATGTGCTCCCTGGCTATGCAGGGTTTCCCATCAGCTTCCCTGGAAGGCAGGCAAATGAGCAGATCCCAGGAGTTCAAATCACCTAAACACATTAACGACAGTTAGCTCCTTCCAGTAAGAAACCTAATTATTGAAACACTAAAAGACAAGTTAACACTTCATAGCAAAATACTAACACTCAGAATAACTAAAATTCATCTTCTAATTCAAAAGCTTTTTGTTTAGCTTCAAGATCTAGAGAAAATTCAGGTATTGAATATCTATAAAATTCTTTTGAAAAACTGAAATTAGAATATATATATATATATATATATATATACAAAAAAAAGAATATGCTAGGCAGCAAGTAAAATTAATACAAATTTTAAAAGTTTCATGAGAAATGAGTCTGTGACCTAGTTACAGATACTACTGGAATGGAGTTGAACATTCAGAACATGACATGAACTGAAGCAACCTAATAATTCAGCTTTTACCAAGGACAAAATCCTTTGCCAATCATCATTCGAGCCTGCCACAATAACTTGTCAGCTTAGAAGAGTGAATTCTGGCTCAGAGATGACCATTTCTGGGCAAGTGTAAATTGATTTACATTTATTCTTCTGTGTGTATTTGTGTGAGTGTGGTATATGTGTATATGGCAGACGTACAAGACTGTGGGGGCTCATATGTCTAAGTGTGTGTGTGTGTGTGTGTGTGTGTGTGTGTGTGTGTGTCATTCCACCATATTCCTTCAAGACAGGGTCTTACACTGGACCTGGAGTGGTCCTCCTATCTCTTCCAACACAACACTGCTTTACAAGCATGAGTGAACACCTTCCACTTTCTTTTTGTTAAAGAGTGTGGGGGCTGGGGTCACCAGAACTCAGTTCTTCTCACTTGCATGTCAACTGTTCTTATCACTGAGCCTGTTCATTTCCTTTCTCCTGTCTTTTTCTTATGCAACAAATATATAATATTTATTTTTATTAGCATTGTGCATAAAACTTGCTTCATAACATTTTCGTACTTATACATAATGTACTGTGGCAATGTACCCTCTTCTGTGTCAATGTACCCCCCCTTTTTTAAGTCAGCATGTCTTAAATGGAACTGGTGCTTTAAAAATATTTGTTGAATGGAAATCCCTGATAGAATAGTAAATGTATCACCTCTCAGAGAAAAAGAAACAAAAGACATGTATTTCAATTGTTGATGATATAGATAGTAACAACAACAACAAAAATGTCCAGATAGTCTAGATGGAGTAGGGTACAGTAAACAAATTAGCATAGCTTGAGATTTTTTTCCCAACTTTTTGTTTGGAAAATTATCTTTAAAAATATTTTCTGTGCACATTGTCTCCCTGGTGACTCATGAGACAAACACAGATGTCACCATTTGTCTCCTCTGTCACCCACAATGGCTTCTAAAAATCTTAGGGAGGCCATCAGCTTGTTTAAAGCCATCTCTTCTTGGCTTTCTTTTCCAGGAGAATGTCTCATGGAGAAACGTAACTCTTCCAAAGAAAGGCCAAACAAATGAAAGAACTAATAAGGGAGAAGAATCTATAATTAGTAGTGAAATTTCACTCTTTGCCAACCAAGTACTTTTCATTTGACAATCCCTGTGTAGTCTGGACTATGTTTTATGGTTTGGGCTGTCTTATTGCCAGAAGGAAAAACTTCCTGGTGAACAAAGTCATCTAAACAACTGAAGTCAAGCTTTCATCCCACAACTGTGCTGTTGGCTTGTTCATGAAAATACTGAAAGACAACACAGTAGTTCAAAGGGGGCAGGGGGGAGTTCAGCCCATGAGCTGGGACAGAGAATCTCATCTATGCAACAGCAAGCAAGCCTCGGGCTCAGGAGATGGAGAAACCATATACACCCTCACTTTAAAGAGAATTTAAGACCAGTTCTTGGAGCTAAAACCAAATACAGTGCAATGCTTCTAATCCTCTGTTTTGAGCAGGCAGTGGGCTTTGTCGACCAACATCTTTTGATTTGAATTCAAACAGAAATACAATGCGTTTTTATTTCATGTCATGTCCAGTTCAGGAAATTGTGAAACCCTAGAAAAAAGCCTCCTGTCATAAGATCCCCAAATAAATATTTTAAGAAGATAAGGGTATGCAAAGAGAGAGTGATTTCAAATTAAGAAATGCATTGTTTGGTTCTTAAAACCAGAGTGTATTCTGAGGTATGCCTCCTTCACTTTAGCAAGCGCACACACACAACTTGTAGAGTTGGAAGAAAGAAACACACAGTTCAGTCATAAATGTTTAAAACTGGGAAACACATTTAAATAATTCATAGGAATTCATTAAGAACTTTCAACGAGCAGAACTTTGCTCTGGGTATGTGAAAGAAAATAGAAAGAAAAAATAGTAAGTGCCCTCAGCAATCTATCTGAGGGATTTAAAAGATTAAAAAGATTTGAGGTTAACTTATAAAATATCATAAGTCTCTTGGCAGTCTTAAGGTGACCCTTCATCCCTCAAAAATATTCAATTAATATTTTAACTTAAAAATTAATAATTCAAAAAAGGGCTCATAACCCTTCAATATTCTCTTAAAATGAAGTCTAACAGGAATTTCAAGAAATGTCTTCATATACTTCCCTAATTATTGCTACCAAAGTCTAAACAGCACTGGTTGTTTCCTTTCAAAATTCTTTTTCTTAACTGAATTCTATGCCAACCTTCCAAGCCTCTATAGGTTAAATATTTACTAATATTTTCACTTTTTCTACGTTTCTTTCTCTGGCTTCAGAAGTCAATTCCCTCCTTCAATTTTTCAAAGCAAAGCTTTATTTGTTTCAGGAGACACAATACATGTTCAAATTTGGCCGCAGACACTTTGAAAATAGAAACTTAGACTACAGAGTAAAGGATATTTATTCACTAGCAGAGTATACCACTTCTCCAAATTAGCCTTGGAGCACTGCAGGTATAAATGTAAAATTTCAAACTAGTGCAATATTTGGGGGCTTTGGGGACCACCCTCCACTAGAGGACAGTATAAGCTACTGGCAGACACAGGCACAGCATCCATAGCAGAACGCACAAGTCGGAGGAGGCAGGCACATAGGCAAGTCCAGCCCTTGAATGGATTGTGTTTGGCCAGGACAGTAGGTAGATACTTGCCAAATGCAAATGTCAGCAGAATCACACTTGAGAAAACAGATTTCAGCCATTTTTGGAAACCCTAGTACCACTAGGTCTACATCTTACAGGCATCAAAGACTTCAGGGATTTGCCCAGGAGTTCTCCATACGGCCCCAAGGCTGCCTTCCTCAGCATCTAGCATCGGCGGTTTTAGTCCTGCTGTAAAATACAGGTCTGTCCATATTCCATTAATCAGTCTTTTGACAAACTGATACTCATGTTTTAACTTTTAATGAATTAAATATGTTCCTTAGCTAAGTTGGTTTTGTTGAATGGACTTAGAGAAATTGATATTTGGTCAGTTGGTAGTAGAGGGATGTCTGGATATTGTTCTGATGTCTAGCACATCTGCCAGAAAGATGAAAAAGCTTATTCTAACTCCAGCAACATTTTACTGGCTATGCTGACGTTGGTAAGGACCGAAGTATGACCTCAGTCTTTCTTCCTCCCAGAACCCAGAAACACTAAGAGAGGTCTATGGCTGTCTTCTTTGTTCCCTCTTTTCTTGAGGTTGGATGCTGAGCTTGCTCACAATCTTCTTGGGCTGATCCTTCACTTCTCACAGCCTCACTTTTGATTCTGTACACACGCCCACCTGAGAGCTGCTTTCCAGTGTTAACTGGTCCAGTGCGGACTCTCTTTAGGCAACAGGCAAACATTACACCCTTTTAGTTGGCGTTTTTGATCCGTTTCTTCCATATCTAGAGAGAAGATCTGAGAAGTCAAATGCTGGTTCCAGTTAAAATAAAAAGCAGCCAAGGAAGTCCTTGGTGACTTTGATGGTTCCTTGAGTTGTTAGTCTAAAGAAAAGGTAGATTCTGTGTGGTTTAGAATACTAAATTGGAATTTGGGTTTCAAATCCACAATGAATATATGACCCTTGTAAGCTCATATGTTTAAATATATAGTCCCAGTTGGTGTGACTTTTTGGGAAGGGTTAGGGGGCGTGTCCTTGTTGCTGGAGGTGTTTCAAAAGACTTGTACCATTCCCAGTGTGCCCTCACTGTTTCATAGCTGTATCTCAAGATGTGAGCTCTCAGTTGTTCCTGCCACCAAGCTTTTGTTCTTGCAACATAGATCCAACATTCTGAAATAATAAGCCCAGTTGGACTCTTTCTTTTATAAGTTGTCTTGGTTATAGTGTTTTATCACAACAACAGAAAAGTAACTAAGAAAGGTAGTAATAAATAAGGATACAAACAGCTAAAAATTCTTCTCAGATATATATTGTTATTATTGTGTGTGTACATCTGCATATATGTAGATGCCCTCAAAAGCCAGAAGAGGACATGGGATCCCCAGGAGCTAGAGTTAAAGCTCTCTGTATACTGTCCAACATGGGCTCTGGGAACCAAACTCTAGTTCCATACAAGAGTAGCAATTATCTTAACTGCTGAACCATCTCTCCAGTCCCAACAGCTAGGAATTTTAAGTACTCTAATGTGCCTCATATTGTTCCAAGTATTTGTATTCATAATTCTTCACCCAGGACTCCACACTGGGTATGGATGTTCTGAGAAGCACAGAAGACCTAGGTAATTTGCCCAATGTCTTCTAGTTAATGGACTTGACTGCTGGGGGTCCAGGTCTAAAGGCCAGGTTCTTGACATAATTAGCACCTCAAAACACAGGGAAGCAACAGAGAACCACAGCTTCTGATGCCATATACCTATTCATTTATATAGTACTTGTGACAAGTGTGTGGTCTAGAAAAAGGATTGTACATACTTTAGAAGTAAAGACACACACACACACACACACACACACACACACACACACACAAACACACACACACACAAAACAAAAACAAAAACAAAAACAAAACAAAACACCATCACCAAAATCCTTATCTAGCTTTGGTCTTTTTTAGTTACTATCTATCATGTATATTTGCATATGAGAACTTGAAGGAAAAATGACTGTAGCAGATATA